TGGAGCACCTTCAAGAAAGAATGGAAAAATGAGGAGGGGTTCTGTAGTCGGTCTGGATCCGCCAGTTTTGCACAGTTGCAGGCTGCATTGCAGAGTTGTTTTGTTATAAATGTTGTGCTTGTGTGTCGGGTTTTTGTTGTTGTTTTTTTGTTTGTTGGGTTTTTTTTGTTGTTGTTGTTTTTTTAAAAGAGTTCTGTTATGGCAAAGAATGAGTGTGGTAATGACAAATGTCCATTGTGATCTCTTTAACAGTGAGTGTGCTCTGGTAACTAATTTGGCCTTATGTGAAGTGAGAGATACACCGAAGCATTGTTCTAGGAAAAAACCAAAACAGAGCTCTTAAAAGGCGGGCAAAGATTGTCAGTGACTGGAAATAGGAACTGTTAAATTCCCAGAATCTTTTAGCCAAAGATCAGGTTTCAATTTTAAGTATGAGATAAAAACAAGCAGTAAATCTCACCTTATTATAGTCAAACACGATAAGGCAAGCCTTCCAGGTGCCTTGGGAGTCAAGCAGCACAGACTGGAGGAGAACTTCCAGCTCCATTTCTTGGAGGTTGTGCAATTTCTGCAAAGAATAATGCACGTTCTGTATTAATGCCATTACCTGAGCAACTCTGCAACGGGTGTTTATGTCCAACCACTGATATTTACATCTTAATAATGAAGAAATTGTATATTTTACGTGCTGTCTCATCCAAGAATTGCCACTGAGCTATTGTCATGTCTCCTTCCAGTCCTTAAGCATGTTAAATTGTTTGATGATGAGGTGAGGTAATTGTCCCCAAGTTTAAGGATATTGGAAAACTAGTTAGATGGCAGCCAGCTTCTGTGTAGCTTTGATGCCTTTAGAGAATCACCAGGAGGAAAGATGGGATGGTAAAGTGATTGCCTGACACTTCCTCAGCTGCTAGTGAAATTAACTTTATTCTGATATCATTAGCAGAATAATTCATTAGGACAGACATCTGGCCTGTGGGGCTTGGTTGCTTGGTCAAGCTTTAAACCAGGGCTTTCTCTCATCAAGATGAGTTTTGGTGTCTTGATTCAAGTCCAGAAGAGAGTACAAGAGGAGGGGGGTGTTGTTCCCTCTCTTAGTTCTTATTAAAAACATCTGTCTGTTTTCTAAGGAAAGCTTTTCCCAGTGAAGAGGGGTGTCTTTATTAATAAAATAAATCATGGTAGAGAGGCAACCAAAGGCAGGTTCAGTGGGTAGAGGGGGAGCTCTGTGTGTACATGTGGGTGTGGTACTTCATGTGCATAAAATAGAGAAAATTACTTTAGAGGAGGAAAGAAAAAACGTGGAGTGTTCTTGTACTAATTCACAGAAGCCAGGGAGGGGAAGTCATGGAAACTGAGGGCTCCCCTGCACCTCGGTGAGTCCCAGAGCATTCGCTGTCCCCCTGTGCAAAGGAAGGGGCTGCAGACCCCACCCCTGTGTGTACCTGATGCTCAGTGCTCCGTCCCTTCGGCTCTGGCTGCCGTGGCAGCAGTAGCAGCACGTATCGCATCAATGGCTCTTTTAATAGTTTCCTAAGTGGTTTTCTTTGGAAATACTCACTGACAGGGGTTGGGTTTTCTGAGCACGGACTGTCCTCAACAGCAATGTTGTCGTTAAAGTTGGAGCAAAACAAAACAAAACGGTGTTTTCTAATAAAACAAGGAAGGGAATCGATTTCCCCATTACTTCTGTGAAGCAGCTTTAAAAGGCCAAGCAGAGGGTTTCTGCAGAAAAACTTGTGTGTTACGCTGCACTAACAGGGATTTATGTGCATCTCTGTAATTAGAGTGGGTGGTGTGTGCGCAAGGGACGGGGAGAAATCCTTCTACGAGAACTTTCTGTGGCGTTTCTTGATTGCTGGTGGTGTGATCAGGCAGCATTGGCCATCCAGCAACTGAGGTGTTGGCTGAGTTTCTGTGGAGTGCTCCTTTCCTAGAATCACTGTTCCTGCAGCAACGGGAAACAAACAGCCCTGGCTGGTGGCTGCTGTCTTTTGGGAACTTCAGCCTCGTCAGAAAAGCAAAGAGTAAAGTTTACTGAGTACTGATGGAAAAAGATGACATTGATGTTTAATTCCAATACTTCATTTGGAGATGCTGCCTACCATCATAAACAGGGAAAGACAAGACAACTATTCCTGTAATGAATAAACATAAAATGACTGTGAGTGCATCTTAGTCATATTTAATTTATGAATTTAGTTTTGCTTCATAGACCTTGCTATGAAAGTGCTTTCACTGGAAAGATTGAGGGATTAATTTCCAGTGTAAATCACTGGCTCAGTTTCAAGCCATCATACCGAATTTGATTTATTGATTATCTAATCAAATAAATAGAGAAAGAAAATACTGCATTGTGAATCCTCAGTGTGCCAGGAAAAAACAGATACCTACCCCAGCTCTGATCTCTGCAAAAGTCTTTCCTCTTCCTAAACACTCTTGTGGCAAAAGGCTGTTCTGTGAACCGCAGGCGGTCTTGGACCGAGCGGCACAGGAAAGCCTTGCTGCCAGCTGTCAGGAAGCCCTGAGTCAAGGAGAGCGGGAGCCGGCATCTGTTATTTCCAGGACTGGCAGAACACACGGGCAGGAGCTGGTAAGGATCCTGGAAGGTGAGAATTACATAAGAAACCCTTCCTGATAAATCCCTGCCTTTCCTTCAGCACTGTGTCTTGGCTCTGGTTCACAGTCCTGGTGGAGAAGCTCTCGGTGCCGTTGCTGCACTAACGTTAACCAGGGAAAACTGTATCTGCTACCGGAGCCGCCGGCCGAATCCGCCCTGCTCCCTCCTAACGCCGGGTTCTGTGTGGAGAGGGAGAGACAAAGCGTTGAAGGAGAAAAACTTTGTTGGCTTTCGTATGACACTGCTTGGTGGGAGGTTTCAGAATCGCAATTGGTTTCTGCCTGAGTGGAAGCTCAGAGATGTTGGGAGTCGGTGGCATGTCATGGTCCTCATCACGTAGCGCTGTTTGTGACTCCCACGTACCTCTGGGAGCTCTGCTTGGAGGAGAGCTGAGCAACAGCCAAAACCAGGCTGCTGTTTACTGAAATGATTTTCTGATGCTTAAGTGGGATCTGACCGGGAGGGAGACAAAGATGTGAATGATGAGCCTAGAAAGTTAGTTCTTTGGAATAATAATTTCTGGTTTTCCAGCCAGCAGCAGCTGGGCGAGAGGTCGTGGCTCTCTGCTGCTCACACATCCTGACGTACTCCTGGGCTTGTTTGTCACCAGAAGCTCCCTCGTGATGGGTTCTGTGGGGTTCATATTTCCACAGAGGATTGCTCCCACCTGACAGGCTCGTCCATCCAGCTCTGTCCTGCAGGCGGGTGGGCACGGGAGGGAAGGATTGCGTTCTGCCCGCATGCCCTGACTCTCTGCTCGCTGCAGTGATGGTTTAAGGGCTTGGCTGGTCAAACCTTGCCTGTTTAGCAAAGTACACAAATTGCCTGTGCTTAACTGAACTAGTATAGAGCATCTCTGCTAGGTTACAGTTACTTGCAACACTTTTTAAGGATGAGCTGAGTTCAACAGAGTTTATTTCATTAAGGGTATTGTATGTTTACTCTCTGATCACACTGTGGAAGGATCCACAGGGATTTTTCTGTGTTACTCTTCGCTCAAAGCTCCGTGACCCTCCCACAGCATCACAGAATCGTGCCAGTTTTCTTTCTATGCAGGCTCAGGCCCCTTTACTTTCTCTTTTTAAATTGCCTCTTCACCAAATTCCAAGCAGCATTGATCAGCTTAATGATAAAACTGGGGCTGGTGAGACCCAGAGCCTGGATGCTAAGTGGAGCCATCCAGAGTAAGTATCTAGTGCTCAGTGAGGATATTTTGGGCATTTTCAGCTGTGATCCCAGCTGGACCTGGGGGAAGCTATTGGACACACACAGATCCTGGCGGAAGCATCTTCGCAGGAACCTCCCTTATGAATTCCAAGGTGATGACATCCCCCGTCTGCAGAGCGTTTGGCACAGAGAACACGGTTGTTTGAGTCAGCTGTACCAACGCCAAGACTTTAACATATGCCCTTAGTGTTCTCCTCCTGCAAGGAGCTGGTTCAGTCATAAAGTGATAAACGGGTACACGACGTAGCGATCCTTTGGGCGAGCGTCTGGGCTCCCTTTTGTTCACATCTTCAGAGGAAGAAGAGGAAGACCAAGATGGCAAACAGATGGTTGTGGAATCTGCTGCCCCAGAGCGTACATGAATGGCAGGTGCTGCAGGAAGATGCCCAGGCACCAAAAGTGGAACAGGGCAGGTAAAGACATCCATCCATCTGTTCTTTGCTCTTCTGGGGGTGGAAGGGCTTTTGCTGGGGATGGTGTCCAGCTTTCAGGTTTGTCAGGTCAAGCAGCACACCAGCAGTGCCAATGCAAACATGGGAACTGAAACAAAAACTGGCTGGTTAAATAGGATTCCATGCAGGAAGATGTAGGCAGGGCCCTTCTCTGCCCTCATCATTTGATGCTTCACTTGTGCATTTGATCTCAGCAACATACTGGGGATCTGAGGTGGTGAAATACTCTCTCCCTCATGTTTTCCCAATGCGTCTAGAGTCAGCTTTGACTCTGCCCTGCCCCAGAGTTCAGGCTCTCTGCAGGAGGGAGCTGTGTGCAGGAGCAGGAACAGGGTATGTTTGGTTCCTGTGAAGAAACAGTTTTGCTGAGCTGGCATAGCACAGATCACTCTTACATCCCCCAGCACAAGTGTTGTCTCCAGAATGGTCAAAGCAATCAGAGGTCACATCTAACAAGATATAGGAGGATTTTGTCAGTGTCAGTTCTGCCCAGGCAGCAGAGGTAAAAGCCTATAGTAGTGGGCAGTAACGATGCCTTTACTCTCCACCCAAGGATATGATAATAACCATTTTAATTTCTTTTTTAAGGACCTGTGGATGAGTGCAGGACTCAAGGACGCAGCATCCTGCTGCATCTGAAAGGACAGTGAAGTGCTCTGGAGACTGCGCAAAAAGGAGACGAGGTTTCAGTGAGGAGAAAGGACATGCAGTATGTGTGTGAATACTCACGGGATGGAGCTGGTGCAGGAGGAGATGCAGGAACCAGCAGAAGTGGACAGACAAGCACCCAGGACCTTCTGCACCTCGGGGAAGTGCGCTGCAGCAGCCCGCTCTCCATCAACACACACTCCCATCAGAGAGCTGCCCACTCTGCAGCCTCCCAGGGATGTCCACTGATGGGTCAGTGGTACCATGCAAGAAGCACATCGTTGCACACGGTTTTAGAAGGTTCTGTATGTGCACTGGCAAAAATAAATACTTTGGTATTGTTGGGGAAGAGGCATCGTGCTCTTTTTACAATGAAACGTCGCGCTCTCGCTGCGTTCATCGTGCAAGTCTTCACTTGCATTTCTGACGGGGTCTGAGGTGTGTGGCTTTGGGTTGTTAGTGGTTGGACCTTCCATGGTTGGACATTTGGTGGTTCATTGTCTCCAAAGCAATCAATATACACAGTTTCAACATAACAAGCAGTATTGGAGGTTTCTTGCAGGTCAGCTTGCCAGAACTTCCTGAGATTTGTCATCCCATTGGTGACAAGCTGTAGGCAGTGCCGGCCATACCTTTGTCTGGGTTTCTTGCTCAGTCCCTTTTGCCATCTGCTCTGGTGGGATGCAGGACACAGTAGGCAGGTGGGTTTTTGGATGGAAAGACAACTTCTGCCACCAAACCCCATTCAGTGCTGCTCAGCTGCTGCCAAGGCAGAAGCCATCAGAGCGTGGGGACGAGCTTGGGAGGACGGGCAGTCACCGAGGAGCACGGACAGCGGGGTGTCTGCTGGTCTCCGTAGGTGTGGTGTGACTGTCCTGGCCTTGTACGTGCCTCTTTGTGTCGCTGTTGCTGTTGACTGGGAGCCTGCAGGTTATCTCCCTCTCATCAGAGTATTTCCTGCTACAGTCACTTGTGCTCAGTGCCCTTCCAGCTGTGTCCGAGGCTCATCTGCTCGCACGCGCTCTCCTGGTGCCAGAGCGCGTGGGGCCCTTCAGGTCTTGTTTTAATTTATTCCCAGAGAAGCTGGGTTTTCATTAAGGTGTAGGTGTAATCTCTCTGCTCTCAAATCTCCTTTGATGTATTTTATCTTAGGTTTGTTTATTGCTTCACGTTATTGGACGTTTGTCATTGCCTTTCTAATAGGTGTTGTATTCTTGAAAAATTGAAATAGTAGTGCTTTTTTTTTCCAAGAGGAAGGGTGGATGGTGGGTTTCTTATTTTTTTCTTTTAAAGAAGCAGAAATTCAGCTCAGTGATGGTTGTTTTCCAAGGTACAATGCATTTTGAAGATAGTGTATGTAATGATGACAGATGACTTAAGGGCTTTCTTATTCAGGAAAAGAAGTGTGTGTTTGTGGGGAGCGGGGAAGGAGTGAAATGACTTTGTCTTTTTCATCTCCCTTCTCCAAGAGTTACTCCTTTTGGAACAGCCATCGTTACCTTCATCAAAAGAAGCTAGATTAGAGTCCTGTAGCTCAGCGCCTTATGGATCCAAGGATGTTTCTAGAGCAGTGGTGTTACTAGCCTTGGCTGATTTTTTAAGCATTAAGTAAAAGACACATCACGTGTCCCTCCTGCAGTGGTTTTGGGGATGAGATGGTGTGAGCTCATCCCTTCTGCTCCTGCATTTTGATGAAGGGTAGGAGAACCCAGGATCTCTGCCCGTCGTTAGGAGCAGCACCTCGACTCCTCACGTCCCTGGCAGGAGCTGCTGGCAGAGCTGGTGCAGAAACCAGAACTGGCCCTCTGGCTGGAGGACAGGTTTTGTGGGGAAGCCGTGGTGGTACGCCAAAGCCTGGAGCTGTGGGGTGTGAATAAATGATAATGAAATAGATCAGAGGGGCTGTGTACTGCTCCAGGGCCTCTCCAGTGTCAGGTGGAAGATTGTGTGTAATCAAACCAAGATGACACAAGGGGCATCATTTTCTTGCAACCAATTCTGGTACAGGAAACTGCAACAGTTGCTGTTACTGGTAAATGTGATGTTGGTAATTTGAGCATCTTGAGGATTTGAAAATAAAGCAATGCCTTTTCTGGCCTGCAGACATCTATTAGCGATGAAAGGAAGATTTTAATGTGTTCTGAGCTTTCTGTCTGTGCCAGAGCCGCCTTCTCTCTTTCATCTCAGGATTGCTACGTGATGCTTTTCAGATGAAAACTGTTAAGCAGAGTAATTCTATCGCACTGAAATCAGACTCGAGTTGTTTAGGGAGTTACGGTGACGGGGTGTGCAGCACAAAGAGGTTCCTCACCGACCCCTCGCGTGTGGTGCAGCGGTGGGAGATCTGAAACCCCACCTCATTCGCTCTGGAGTAAAGCCTACGACTTAAATACAAAATAAAATACAGGACAGCAAAAGGAAAGGGGAAGAGATTACAGATGACAGGAAAGATTTAGATCAGAAAGATGCTCAAGTATTTAATAACATAAGGTCCCATGAGCTCCTCCATTTACTGCCTGAAACTGGAGATCCTAAAGAATTTATGGCTTAGTCTGACGTGTGTGTGTGTGTGTGTGAGTGTGTGTCACAAAGGTAATTGCTGGAGTTTTGATGGTTGCTGTTGTTTTGTGTTGTGAATATGCTGATACACGGAAAGATCCCAGAAGAGCACGACTTGGAGAGCCAGATTCGCAAGGAGAGGGAGTGGCGGTTCCTGCGCAACGCTCGTGTCAGGAAACAAGCCCAGAAGATCATCCAGAAGGGTGAGTGATCTCCCTCGTGCCCACGCTTCGTCAGGAACTGAACTGGGAAACCCCAATTAATGACCCCATGCTGACCCTCGAATTGGAGAGGTGCCTGTTCTCTCTCCCGTGTCCGGGCGAGGTGATGCTGCTGTGGGGTGTTTTGCTGACAGTCACTCACTTTTCCATTCTCAGCTGCTGGTTTTGTTTGCCAGATTAGGGGAGTGACCACTTAAAATGTCAAATATCTGCCTTCCCCTTCGAAAACTTGACTGCAGCTGTGTTAGAAAATGGTTGGTCACAAGTGGGGCGCTCAGGGGAGCGTGGCACCAGGCTGGCTGACCTCTCCAGTCCAGTGCAGGAGTGGAGGAGCCCAAGAGTGATGATTTCTTGGAAGGAGGAGAGAGCTTGCCATGAAAGCAGGCTTCCCTGCTTATAAGAATTGACAGAGCATCCCATTTCCTATGCAAGTGTTGGCTCCCGAGCCCTCCCGGCAGGAGCAGCTGAGCTCCTCAGCCCTGTACCCGCCAGCCAGAGCAGTCGCCTGGAGCCCATAATTCAGGGGCCCTTACCAGATGGCATTGATTGACCATTTGGGCTTCTCCTGTAAAGTTTGGGTGGATGCTGTAGGTTGTTTTTAAAGGGATAGAAGGCAGAATATTGTAGGATAAACTTCAGAGCTGCCAAGAAGGCTCAGGCAGGGTTTGATGTGTGTCAGATGCTGTTTATACGGCCAGTCACAAAATCCCAGAATGGCCTGGATGGGAAAAGCCCTTTGAGATCATCGAGTCCAACCATGAACCCAACACTGACCAGTCCCCAACTAACCCATGTCCCTCAGCACTGTGTCTACACGACTCTTCAATCCCTCCAGGGATGGGGACTCCACCACTGCCCTGGGCAACCCCTTCCAATGCCTCAGAACCCTTTCAGCAAAGAAATTCTTCCTCACATCCCATCTCAACTGCCCTGGCCACAACTTGAGGCCTTTTCCTCTTGTCCTGTCACTTTTTCCTTGGTTGAATAGACTGGCCATGGCAAACCAGCCCTGCTGAGCTGCTGGAGGTGTCTCCACATGCTCAGAAGACATCTCAGCGATGTCTTTCACGTTCCCTGCTCTGCTGAACTCTGTAAATGATTGCTTATTCCTTATATCCCGTTATAAATTTAATATTTGTATGTATGGCTTTGTGTGCTGCTTATACCCTTCCCTCTAACGTGCCTCGGGTTCATGCTCCATTAGCATGTGCTCTCCAGAAAGCTGATTTTGCTTTTTTTAATGACTCTTTATGCCTCTATGAGGCAGCGGTTGGGCAGGAACTCTTTTAGCACAGGAATTTATTCCAATATAGTGGAACTCAATGAAATTTCCTCAGGAATTTGCATTCTTAAATTATTCCTGCTCATGTGCCTTGCACAGCAGAGGCTGGGGAGTGGTGTTTAGAGGAGCTCTCCTCATGGCATCCTCCCGGCAGCGTCCCGGGGGCAGAGCTGTGCAGGTGGGGGCTGTTCCTCTCCTGGGACGCTCGCTCAGCCGCGTGGAGTTGGAAATAATCATCTGGTGAATGAAGAACTGCCCAAGGCTCAGCCTCCTGCGGGTACCTCATCATCGGGAGGTTTGCTGGCTCGAGTCAGTACAACGGGCAGCTTAATGTCGTGAAACCACAGAAAATCATAAACCAGAGTAATATAGAAATGAAACTGGAGCCCAGGAGATGGCTTGGGAGATCTTTTTGAATACAAAGAAGGGGATTTTTCATGCTTGCCTGAAGAAGTTAAATCTTTTTCTAGACAGTGTTCATATTTGGTTGCTTGACCTGAGCAAGTAAAATGCCAGTATTCATTAAAAACTAATGAAAATGTGAAATATTAAAAAGAATTAAAATAGACTTACAATCTTCTAATGAAAATTAGATTAAATGGATGCATTCTAAAACAAACTAGAACTGAGTAAGGGTCTCCTGGGCTTACGGTTCTGTGTGATGAATTCATACTGTGCCAAAAAATTGCAGTGTCAGGAGTGCCAAAACTGTTTGTGAAGAGCAAACTTCTAAAGAAAAGGTGGGAAAGGTCTTTAACCACCATTTTAACGTCTCCATGGAAAATATATTTTTAATTTACAAATTAACCTAAAATTTAAAAGAACTTAAGTGGAAGGTTAAATAAATAATCCACAAGCTAAAATGAAATACTGCATTCTAGGTTGACAAAAAGTATTTTTGTTGAGTTTTTTTTTTTAATTTAAAAAAAATAATGTTGATTTTTCTGTCCACACCAACTGATATTTCTCTGGGCTTGGTTGTACTTGCTGGCTTGTTCTCTTCAGTTACCAACGTAAAGGACACCCCTGATCTGTCACCACAGTTTTAAGTTTGTACCTTAAGATGCGAGACAATCAGTGTGGAGGAGTCGGGGCTGTCACATCCCTGGGATCTGAGAAGGCTCTTGGAGGAGGAAAGTGTTGGGTGGTCTGTTGGTGAGAACTGGCAGGGAGGAGGAGGAGGAGGAGGACAGTGGTGGTACTGGGAAGCTGGGGGGGTCTGAGCCTCGTCCCTCGGGCGGGATGTTCCCGGGCACTGAGCTGTGGCTGCCTCCTGTCCCCCGCAGGTATTTCCCGGCTGGATGATCAGATCTTCCTCAACAGGAACCCAGGTGTCCCCTCCGTGGTGAAGTTCCACCCGTTCACGCCCTGCATCGCCGTGGCCGACAAGGACAGCATCTGGTAAGAGTTTCTGTGAGTCCCTCTGTGTCCATCCTTCCCTCTTTCAGGGCAGAGTCCTCCTGGAGTTCAGTGCCATAGTTGTAAGCGTGGCACCAAGTCCTTTGCCACAGGAGGTGTCAGGCTTGAGGGCTGCAGGTGAATCCTGACATTTAGTTACTTATAACTGGGCTTTTCTCAGATTTCTTTTGTAGAAGGTTGACGTACATCGTTAATAAAATGGTGCTGAATACCAAAGGAGAAAAACAAATTGAATTGCTATCCAATATATGTGATTTTTAGTTGCACTGTCATGAGTAGATCTCTTTTTTTAGCTTGTACAGAGAATCCAAGGACTGATGTGGTGTTTTTTTCCTCCTCCAGTTTTTGGGACTGGGAGAAAGGGGAAAAGTTGGACTATTTCCACAATGGGAACCCTCGCTACACCAGGATCACAGCGATGGAGTACCTGAACGGACAGGACTGCTCCTTGCTGCTGACTGCTACAGGTAAATAACATCTTCCCACAATGAGGGCTGGACTGGGGGCCTCAAGTCCGTGTGAGCTGTTCTGGTTCTCTTGCTGTCCCTTCTGGGAACTTGGCCCAGCCTGACTGTCCCTGCTTGCCTGCTGGGTCTCAGCTGAGGAGGCATTTCCAGGATCAAACTTGAAAGTTGTTTCTGGCAGTACTGAAATATCTTAACTGCTTAAATGAGTGCTGCAAAGGTTTTCAGATGACTGACAAATCAAACACTTGCTGAAACTATTTCCAGTCCCAGCTTTGTTATGTCATTCTGAGTCTTCACCTCTCATGGCAGGTTCATGGTAACCTCCTCCTATACGCTGCCTTGGCAGCTGGTTAAAACCTGCTGTCCAGAGCTGAGAAGGAAATTGTGCTGCAAAGCAGAAGGAATCAAATTCTGTTACTTGTGCTGGTTTAAGTCTAGAGCAGGCAGGGCTTATTTTAAGCACTAAACTTCTCAAATAGTTCTGAGTTTCTCTCTAGTCCATATACATCACCCAGGGGAACCAGTTCTCCAGAATGCCCTGTTGCATCACGTTAAGGTGGCATGAAGAGCTCTTTCTCATTCATTGGTCTGTAAAGCTGTGAGTAAGATCTGCTTCTCTTCCCCAGGAACTGTTCTAAACCTGTCAGTCTGAGTGTTTTCAATAGCTTTTCAAACTTCATGCTGAAATGTACAGGTTGGGTATAATTAAGAGAGGTGTAAGAGGAGTTGAGAGGGCCTTCAGGACATTTTCCTTTCAATTTATTGATTCTTAGCACAAAAGTTTCACAGATGGGGAACAAATTGAAAAAATACACAATGTTCTTGAAAGGTTTGCTGCTGATGGGCTGAGCTTTGATTCAGCTTCTTCTGTGGGGTTGTATTTTGTATTTAGCAGGGTACTTTTGTGGCTCTCAGCACCGATAGCAAGGAGGACAGAGACAAATCCTGGAGAAAATGAATGGGTTAAAGAAATGGAGCGACATCTAATGTCAGGTGTTAGCTGAGGGAAGGAGAAAAGCTCTTCGAGAACAGTTCCCAGTAGAACAATGCTTTAGGTTTCATGGATGTAAGATGAGAGAGGAAAAACAACTCCTAATAAAAAGGATTAAGTTCAAGGAATGCTCTCAGTTTTGAAGTTTGTATGACTACAGTTCTGCTTCTGTTCTTCCTTTGTTGTGCACAAGTAATTACTAGCGTGGCATCAGCAGTGACGTGGCGTTGTGTTCTCTTTTTCTGTGCTCCCCAAGATGATGGTGCCATCAGAGTGTGGAAGAACTTTGCAGACCTGGAGAAGAACCCAGAGATGGTAACTGCTTGGCAGGGGCTGTCAGACATGCTACCAACCACACGAGGTGGGTCCCCACTAAGTTTTGTTGCGGGGAATAAAAATAACTTGTGATGGTTGGGTTTTTTCTAGGCTTGGGGAGAATAAAATGGGTTTCTCAACTTCAGCTGTTCGTAACATCCTTGTTCAACAGTCTCTGCCTTCTGGGATGGCCTTTTGCCAAGCCCTGATGAGGAATTACTTTTCCAGTTCTCACAAAACAAGCCAACAAAACTGAAAGCCCAACACAGCAACCTCATACACACTGAAGAACAAGAGCAGCCTCTTGCTGGGGAGCAGAAGGGGGCAAAGTCCTTGTCCCTTACAAGCTTCACAGCTGCTGTCTGGCCCAAGCATTCCTCTTAACTGTGTCCCTAAGGAGAGAACTGTAGAACAACGGTGGAACTGGGCACTGCCCTGCTCTGTGCTCATCATAACAGGAGGTGGTTCTTTCCCTTTGGGTGGGATGGAAGCTCACGTGTTGCCTCTTTCCTTCTGATGGGCTGCTCAGCCTTTGCACGCCTTTGCATGTTGCACCTGTGACCTTCTTTAGCCTGAGCTCAAATTTTGGCAAATATTCTTTGCTGTTTATGGTGGGTCAGGAGGTGGCAAGAGAATATGCAATCTAAATCTGACACGTGCAGAAGGACAGCACAGTTAGACATTGACCTGCTTTGAATGTTAGAAAAATTGGATAGAAAAAGCTGTAAAAAGGAGCATTGGCATCCAGCCCTACACCGGGTGAAGCCAGAAGACCAGTTTGAGTAACCCTGAAGTCTGTTTTAGGACATTAAAGGAGGTGGACATTTTGTCCTTCCAAGGCCTGGTGCTTTAACGATGATTCTCTGTCACTTGAATATTTTTAATCAAGGCTGCAGGTTTTTCTAGATGTGCCGTAGTTCAATCAGCTCTTGTGGGATTGATGCAGGAATTGCTGGGTGAGGCTCACTGTCTTGTGCTATGCAGGAGGTCAGACGAGATGACCATCATAATTCATCCTGACCTTAAAATCTGACAGTTCTCATTTCCAAGCTTATGTGGTTCATCACAGGAGTCTGCCACAACTCTTTTAGCTATTCATTGGATTTCACTAGTGCTGCCGTGTCCAGCTCATATCTGTTATGTTTTCCTCAACACCTCATGGTTTGTCTCCGGTGTTTTAGGAAGGATGTGAGGGAACTTTAGGATCTGTGCCTCACTGCAGTATGTGCACAAAACTGATTATAAGCTGCTGGAAGCTTGCAGCATGCTGTGAAAATTGCCATGGTCAAAACCTGCTCTGCAGAGATGTCAGGAAAAGCAGGAGGAAAACAGCAGTAATGAAAGGCCCGAGGCGGAGAGGAAAGTGTCCTCATCTCAAGTTGCCCTTTGTAGTGTCATTCGGTTGGTCTGTAGTTCTTTCTTGTCAACACCAGCTTTCCTGGAGGATGTTGGTTAATGTTTAACATCCCTGGATTCGGGATCTTTCTTCCTTGGTGCCTCACCCAAACAACTGGGAATTCCCCTGGACTGCTCCGATCATGGGCTTCTTGCTGCATCATCAGTCGTGTTCAGGGAGGATGCTGACAGCAGTTGACTGGTCTCCTTCAGGCCAATTCCATTTTCCTGCCTCACTCTTTACATGCACCTTATCAAGGTGTAGCTGATTGTACCTGCTCCCCACAGGCCTTGAACACAGCAGGAAGAGTTGTTAACGTCAGTGTTTGACATCGCAAAATGGGTTAAGAGCTGATTTATCTGCAAGAGTTGAATGGTTACACTTGCCAAAACAGGGGTGTTGAAACTTCTAAGTCTGTTCTCTTTAAGAAATTCTTTTTGCCTTTTTCTTATGGTCTTAGGAAGTCTGAGTCCTGTTTTCTTTGCCTCCCACCTTTGGAGCAATAGAATTAGGTTCAGAAAAAAAGGAGAAGAGAGTTCTTTGTGGAGGGAGAAATAAACATACTCACTTCAAAAGAGCTATGTGGATCGAGTCCCCTTGGACATGAGACTCTCTTGAACAGTTCTCTCTTGCTGCCAAGACCGTAGTTGTGGTCCAGCACTGGCTCATAAAACTGAAGATGCATCTTTGAAGCTGCAGAGCTCAGGAGTTTTACTGGAGTTTGTTTGTTCCTACTATCGATTTCCTTCTCTCCTCTCCTCTCCCACCCTTTTCCCCTGTGTCGCACTCATCTCTGAATTTAATAGTTTTCTTGACAGCAACCACAATACTGACTTTCCTGGGCAGTTTTCCACTTATGAAAGGAGAGAGAGGGATAGGCGATACCTAAAGACATCCTTTGGAAGCTTGAGAAGCATCCTGGGGTTGTCTGAGTAATGGGAGGTCAACGAGAACGTGCTCAGGGGCTGCCTGAGAGGGGGAAGCAGACCAGAGTGAGCAGAGAAATTAAACTTTTACACTCTGTAATGGACTCTGTGTTGTGCAGCCCAAGGGAAGAGAAGTGAGCTGATACAGCCCAGTTACTGCGTTAAACTGGGCGCCAGTTCATTGCTCTTGATAGTTGACTTGAGACACGGGGTCAGTGAGTCTCAATTTAAACACTGGCAAATTACTGGGTGGGCACCCTCCGTTTTCTGGATCAGAGTCTTTGATTTTGATCTTGTTTAGATCTGCACTCGTGATGCACCAAGCGAATCTTTCAGTCAAAATCAGGGTGTTTAAAGCAGCGCTGGTGCCAGGCGCTCTAGCGTAAGGCAGTGACTGGGAATCCCCAGCATGAGAGATGGAGGGGGCTGAGAAGAAGACAAAATGCCTGTTGCTAATAGCCTGGTGTTTCAAAAGATGTAGGAAAACCGAAGCATTTTCTAGTGAGCAGCGTAGGAAGAACCTGACGTGCTCTGAAGCTTTGATTGCACAGCGGGAGGCTTTGGGAATTCTGGCAATTTCTGTAGCAAAGGGTGTGTGGAGGCTGCGGGTTGTGTGAGCTGCAGAGCAGCACAGACCCATCGCTGGTGCTGCCCCGGAGCTGGGTTTGGAGCTGCTCTGAGTTTGTGTGAGCTGCAGAGCAGCACAGACCCATCGCTGGTGCTGCCCCGGAGCTGGGTTTGGAGCTGCTCTGAGTTTGCAGAGCCGGGCAGGCTGGGTCCGCAGCTCTCGGGGCGTCTCTCACAACAAGCAGCCGTGCTTGTGCTTCTGAACAAAACTGCTGTGTTTTGTGTTGTTTCTTTGTGACAAAGGGAAACAAGCCATGGTCCCCTGCTCAGAGTGGCTTTGTCCTTTAAAGCAGTACAGTTCTGGAATTTGGAGAAACCCAGAAGTGTAACCAGCTGCTGCACAATTACCAGCCGCCGGCTGCTCAGCTATTCCCTCCCCAGCCCCTCGTGTGCTCTCACCGATGCCTGCATTGATTTCCCTTCTCCAGTTCAGCAGAACCAGTATATCACTTCTAAAGGGGTGCCAGGGGAGGACCGAAGGGCTTGGCCAGTCTCTTCCTGAATACTTGGAGCTCCCCATGCCAGATTTTCCGGGGTTGTCCCAAGGTGCCTCTCACCTCCCCGTTTGCTGCCATGCTGCAGTGCTTTCTTACTCCCTAATGGCTAGAAACTCGGCTGTGGCTGTGGCTCACCTGAGGGTTGTTTCAATGGAGCACCCCTAAGCTGTTGGCACTCTCTGTGTGCTCGTAGCCATCCCCTGAAGTGTGGGGCAGAGAAGCCCCCGGCACAGCAGCCCTCACTGCGGAGAGCCCAGACTGTCCATGGCAGAAGCCTCATGTTCTGCACTCGAGTTATTTGCGTTTCTGTCTGTCACTTCCTGATGCGTTTTCCTTCAGAACAGGGACCAGATCATGCAAAGGATGGTCTCCTTGTTCAAGAAGAAATGTCAAATCTGTGCTGTTGTCAGCCAGCCAGAAAACACTCTTCACACATGACAAGTGCCACCGCTGATGGCTTCCCAGGGAATGCTGTGACTGAACTAGCGCCTGCTCTCTGGAGGGAGGCATGTGCTGCTCTTGGGGCTTCTGCTTCTCTTTTATGTTCTTGCCTTTAATTTGAGTTGCTTTTTCTAATCCTTGTTTTAAGATTTTATTTTTTGCTCTGGCTGACCGCCTCACCCTTAGCGTCAACCCCTTAATCCCTGTCTTCTCACAGGTCTGGCCCGAAGGGTTTCAATCTATCTTGACAGAAGTAAACAGGGAGGTGAGTGATTTCTTTCCTGTTACCTACGATCAGCTGGGGTGGGAAGGAGCTCCTCGTCTGGCTTCGGGTTGGTTGACTGGTTGGTTGGTTGGTTGGTATTTTTGGCATTGTTTGAATGATTGCTGGGTCCCTGTGATTCCTGGAAAGCTTTGCTGCTTCTCCCTCTCCCATCCTTGCCTTGTGTCTGTGTCCGTAACAGCCGTGAGAAATGCAGGGAGGGTGTCTGTGCTCTCTAGGTCAGCGTGGCCACACGCTGGGAAAAGGACATCTTGGTGTCACACTCGGAGCTTTCTGCAGTGAGAGGAGGTTGGGGTGGGATGTACAAGGCTCTCGTTCCAGGAAGATTTCAAAGCATCCCTGGACAAAAGGGTTTGAATGACAGGTTCCCAACATGAACCACCGATAAGCTAACGTGGATTTTACTGGGGTTGATTTGTAATGGACTTTTGCTGTAAAGATCATGTGAAAAGGAGGAGCTGATGAATCTTTCCCGGGAGGCTTAAATAGTGGACTTTTGGCAAGGATATGCCTAATAAATTTTACAAATTCTGTTCTTTCACGTGGAAGGAAGGTAAATGAAGGTTCTTCCATCTGTAGAAGGCAGGACTGTGTGGTGTCTGTGTTGCTCTGGAGCCTGGCCCCCTCCTCTGCCGCTGAGGTCTTTGAGGGAAGCAGATGGCTAATGTGTCAGGGCATCTTTGTGTGTATGCACATCCGTGGATGTGAATGTTGATGTAGTCATCCTGGGCTATTCATCAATTATTAATATTTGCTGACTGATAAGAGCTGAGTGTGTCTGCAGTGATTAATAGGACAAAGATGATTGCAGTGCTGTGTGATTCAGAGCTCTTTAGCTTGAGGTCTTTGCAAATCTCTCTCTTACTGTTCAGAGACAGAGCACTGGGATAGAAATTAGCGAAGCTGAGGTGTTGCTGTTAGCTGCCTGGCTCTGCATTTCACTCAAAAAGGCTAAAAGTGGCAAGACTTGGCTGCGGGGAGTTCCCTGCTCAGTAAACTGGGCACCTGGATGGTTTAAGGCAGTACCAGCCACTCCCTTGCTGGGTCAGTACTGGTGATGCCAAGTGATCACACTCTGTCCCCAGCACACAAATAACTGAATAACAATAAACAGCATTCACCAGCATTTTCTGGCCAGGTGTTCTCCTAGTGAAAAATGCAGGGAAAGGATTGCTTCTCTCCCACTGAAGAAGTCTTAAAAATGGATGGGATTAGCTATTTTCTTGACAGCAAAATACATGAGCAATATTTAGATAAAATACACTAGTTTTGTCACTGAAGCACAGAAAATCTGTTCTCATTGCCTAGGCTCCTTGGGGAGTTTTTACCCAAAGAAAGACAGGGGACTGTCTCTTCATTCTCACGTTGCTGGGTGCTGGCTGTAGGCAGGAGCCACCAGGCACTGCTCTGTTGCAGATCAGCAATAAACTGGAGAAAGACCAGTGGCTTAATGGTTGTGTGGGGCCACTGTGCAAGGCAGAGCGGGAATCCCTGAAGTCCATGTGAGCACTGAGCAAAATCTGCAGCCGGCTCACCCGGCAGCGTGAAGGCAGCTGAGCTAGCAGGAGTCTGGAGATGCTTCAGTGTGACCCTCTGCCTGGGTGCTTCACCTCCCGCTCCCTCAGAGCTCTCTGGGGGTGTCTCGACACACTGCTGCCTTACCTCCTGTCAGCATAATTGAATGAGCATAACGAAGAAGGAGACGGTGTTAACGAGAGAATATTCACTCGACCTGTGCCCGCTCCATCCATCCATCGCTGCCTCCCAGGGGTTGTTGGTGCTGCTGTGTAAACAGCCATAATCTGTCTTACCTCCAGAAAATTTATGCTGATGCCAACCAAGGAAAAATAAGCACATAGTTCCCAGTTCCCTGCTTCCTTCCTGCTCTCCTGGGGCTTCTGAAACAAAGTCTGAAAGACGTCAAATACCTGCTCTGCAGAAAAGCAGGACCTTGCCTTCTGGAGGCTCTGCTCTGCTTTGAATGCTGCTGACTCTTCTGGCAGTCAGTCAGTCAGAGATCCAGATGGGAGAGGGTGGAGAGGCGGCCTCAGAGCTTCTTAGAAATAAAAGTTAGCGGCTTCCTGGGAGGGAGGTTCCCCGGGGAGCTGCCGGGCTCTTGGGCTGCGTGGGGCAGCCTGTGACAGAGCCCAGCCCTGGCTTAACCTGCAAAAGGAGCTGATCAAATGATCAAACTCAAAGAGAGTTTGTACTGGAGAACAAGAGGGAGAGAGAAAAGTAGAGTGAGTCTTCCCACATCCCCCCAGGGGTTGGTATCTTGTCCTTTAGGAATAAGAAGTTTGGGAGAAGCACCTTATTTCTCGACAGATTTTTTTGTGGCAATAAAATAATTGGAGAAATTGCAGCTCCAGGGGTTTGTCTTCTTTTAATTGGATTCCCAGCATCACAGCTACTCTTCTCCCTTGCTGCGCATAGTCCTTGGCACAAGAAGAGTGACACTTTTTGAAAGGATGTTGTAGAAATTAATGATGAGTGAGGTCATACAACCCTCCTACTGCTTCCTGGAAATTAAGACAGTGATGTGCCTCATTGCGCAACCAGGAGGGCCCATGATTAAAAAAATCATCAGTCAGAACCTGAGATGCTTTTATATTGTGTTCTACGTAGGTATTCCTGGTTTTATCGAAATGCCGAGCACAGGTTGGCCACGTTCCAGTGACATTAAAAATAAGTGCAGACACTCAGAATGCAGCTGCTTTCGACACCAGTGTTATTTATTGAAATTTATACAAGGAACTATCCCATCCAGACAAATACCTGTTGCTCAGGGGGAATCCTGAGAGAACAGTCATAGAAAGTTACAGCTTCAGGAATGGCTGTTGGTGTGTGTTGCCTTGTATATGAACTTGCATCATACAGAACTGCAAGTGCTTGTGTTAAAAGACTCAAGGAGAAAAAACATAAACCTTTAAAAATATATTTTCCGGAGTTGTGGAAGATTTGCTGCTCATTGTCTGAGAACATAACGTTCCTTATGGGAAAATTGTAATGTTAACTAGTGATGCATTGGAAGAAGCGTGTTGCTGGGGTGCCTGTTTCTGCAATCCCTTGGCTTCTGAGAGCACCAGTCTCACTGCTGGCCTTTTCCAGATGGTCACATTGGTGTCACCTGTTTACTCTGTTTCCATAAGTAGGTGGGAGCTTGGAAATAGGGTGGCAGGTAATGCAGAACCTGGCTGTGTGCCTCAGCTGAGCTTGCCTGGGTTCACAGGGTACGTTACCTTTTTTGCCAGGATAAGCCTGAGAAGCATCTTAGATGCCAAAGCTGGAAGCCAAAACCCAGCAGGTGAACTGCAGTCTCAGTTGTAACATCCTGGAGAAGGACCTCTGTTAATTAAAAAGGAAATTATAATTAGTAGTAAGTCCCATGTTTGCTTCTCATCCCCAAATACTAGGAATTTAACATATAAATCATTTTCACCATGAGAACGTTTGCTCGTACACAAATAGTTGAGCTATTTATGTCTCATTTCATACTGTGTCATCTTTGAATTTAACATTTCACAGTCGGAGGAAGCCTTCCTTCCCTGTTACCCGCTTGTGAACCACTTCAGTTTGTGTACAAAGACTTTTCTTCTTCACAGACACATTTGAATTCTGGTTTAGTGCTTCCAGTCACATCCCAGGGTCCCCCTTTCCCTCTTTCCTTTCTCGCCTGGGTGGCAGCGGGTGCAGACCCCTGGCCCGGGGCCGGTGCTCATCGCCGGTGTGAGCTCTGCAGCCAGGACCTGCCGCCGTCCTGGGCTGTGGATGGAGCTGCCCCATCTCCCAGCAGGAAGGTGCCAGGAGTTCTCCTCAGCTGTGATTTTCATGGAGATATTCTGTTCCTCAGATGCCTGTGTTGTGTGGTGCCGTAGGAGTATCTCGTGCTCTGAGGCTGCCCAGTCCACCCGTGAGCACTGGGCACCAGAAGCAGCAAAAATGATGTTTTGTGTTTGCTTGAGAGAATAAGAAGGCTGATGAAAGAGAGGGAAGATCCTTTGTTGTGGGATGATCAGAATGTTGCGCTTGCCTCTTCCAGAGAGCTGAGGTTACTGCTTACATGGACTGTTTAAGTTTTATAAGACAGACAGGAGCTGCATTGACTGCTTGGAAGATCATGAGCCCCACCATACTGCAGCGTCACCTCCCTCCTCTCGTCCCACCTGTGAGCTCTGTGTCAGGTCCTGCTCTGGGGTGAACCCTGGTCCTTTCTACTTGGTTGTCTCTCATGGGAGATCTCTATTATTTTACACAAAGTGAAACCCTTCTGGAGCTTCTTCCCTTGGTGAAACTTCTCCTGGTCACCCAGGTGGCATCGCTGAATGTCCTCAGTGCTTAAATTCCTGGCAGAGATGCCAAGCCAAGCACCGAAAGCACCAGCCATCACTCCGAATTCACCATCTCTGTTCCCCTGGGACTGCAGCAGACTGGGGACTTGCTACTGATCAGACTGAAGAAAAACCTCATCTTAAACTGGGGAATGTAACTGGAAAATTGGGAGCTTTAAAACTGCCTAAGAGCACATTGCCTGCTTACCTCCATCAGCGATGGTAATGGCGATATCCATCTCAGCCTGCCAGGTTTATCTTGTCACATGGGCTGTAAACAAGATGACAAATGAAAACACTTCAGTGATGTTTATCATCTAAATCACTGCCTGCTTGTTTGCCTCGGATCTCTAGCAGCCCTCTGAGCTGCCAGGCAAGCTGAGGTAACAAACAGTTTGACTCTCCAGATCAAGATGCAAGCTCTTGGCTTAGCCGAGGGTCCCGGATTTCCTGCGGTAAGATGATGGTCTGTCAGGAAACACCAGGAATCGTCTGCGTGGTGTGCGGCAAGATCAGGGGATGGCTTGGGTGTGATGCTTAGGAAGGAGAGAAGGGAAAAATGTTTCATCTGGATCTGTGCAAAACAAGGTCATTTCATCACCTTTGAAGAAAACTCAGTTTCTAGGATGTCTCGGTTGTTTCCTTTGTGCCCTGTAAAGGTGTTTGGTCTGGTAAAAAGTACTTATTGGTCGTTAGTGACAGAGGGGATGTTGAGGTAGGTTTAAATTTCCTGCTGGGGCTAATTCCCAGCGGTAAATCGAGACAAATTCACATTTGTACTTTCTGGATAAGCAAGTTGCAGAGTAGAAACAGAGGAATCTCACTGAAGGCAGCTGTGAGTGGCTCGGAGTCCTGATGCATTGCAGAGTGCTCTGTGACTCCAGGTTATAAAATACTGTCCCAGTTTGGCACAGACCAGAGGGTGAACTGCTGCTCTGCTCTGCGAGGATGCAGCTTCCCTCTGCCGAAGGGAGAGCCCTGCCTGGGGAGGTGAAAGCAAACACAAACACTGGAGGTTTTGTCTAATTCCCTCATGCATAGTTTTTTGTTTGTGATTTTAATATATGAATAAGGGTCTCCCTGGAAAACCCGTAGGTTTGGAGTTGGTCAGCCTTTGCAGCATGAAAAGCAGGAGGTAATTGGAGTGCAGCTCTGCATTAAGCAAAGCGTTTCTGCGCTGTGGAGGCGGCACACAGGTACAGAGAAGTCTGTCTAATTAAATGTACGAGAATTGTTCCTCTGAGATTTCCCCCGCCAAATCAGGGGTTTCGTTGCCAGCTATTTCCCAAGTCCTGATATCTGCTTTGTGCTTAGGAGTCAGCTCACTTGGTGGCTTTTGGACCAACCTATTCCCCCAGCTGGGAAGGGAGGTGACAACACTTATTCTTCTCTGGAAATTGCTGGACCAGCAAAGTTCATGAGTTCACGCAGTCTCCCAGCCTGTCTGTAAGCAGGTGCCCTTGTCAGGTGTTTTGGGGATAGAAAAGCCCTTGTAATTCCCTTACAGCATGGATGGGATGTTTTTCTAAACTTCACCTAGCAATCAGTTTATGTCCTCAGAGATGAGGAGCAAAAGCTCTTGTAAAGGTATTTTAGCTGGTGTAATCGCAGGATGTTCTCCTCCTTATCTGTCTGTATAGCAAATTGGTTTTTACTCCTACCAAGCTGTTTAATTCAGTATCTCACAGCAATGACTTTGCTGTTCCTTGTTTAGAAACATCTCCCCTTATCCACATATTTCTGTTAGAATAAGGAATCATAGTAATCCAGAGGCTCTCAGGTCTTGCTGTGTGAGATGTCATCAGTTCAGTCTACTTCAGTCATAATTTAATCTGGTGTTCTTATAAAGCAGTGGATAATTTATTAAGACTCCCTTGGAAGTCCCCAGCACCTTGGCAAGGTCCCTGGAATACAAAAATTCACCTGCCTGGAGGGATCATCTGCACCTCAGCTTTTCTGAGCCCTTAAGCTAGACAAGGGCCCAAAGACATGTCTTGGATTCACATCCAAGACCAAGTGGTTTGATCCCATTTGGAGGATGTATGGATGTGTGTGTATGTAACTGTAAATTTCCTCTAATAACGATAGTTTCTGTAGCATGAGGTCATAAAAGCTGGTGTTCTAATTAGTGCAGCTCTGCCTGTGCTGCTGCAGAGATTAATTTCCCTGCCCTGCCTGTATTTTAT